GGCGAGCGGAAGCAGCAGCTGTACAAACCGGGGTGGAGGGAGGAAGTCTCCTCATCTCTCCAGGGCCCCAACTACAGATGGGAGATCAATAGACTTCTTCCTCTTCCTCTTCCTCTTCCTCTTCCTCTTCCTCTTCCTCTTCCTCTTCCTCCTCCTCTTCTCCTCCTCCTCCTGCTGCTGCTGCTACTTTTGACAGTGCCTTACTAGAATTAACGTATTGTTTCCTTTAAAGTAGGTGGGAAGTCGGGGGAAAAATACAGTTTACAAAGCTGCCTTCCATCATGCAAAGAACTCAACATAAAACTCACATTTGGAGAAAAAAAATATTTCAGGGCAGCTACCAAATGCTGTGACACGGACAACTGCAATACTATTCCTGCAGGTATGTGGGGTCAAGCAAGAATTGCAGCTCATGCAATAACAATTCAGCAAGTCAGCTAAGGCCTGGAAGCCCAATATTGTGGTGATGTTGAGCACACTTGGAATACTGAGAATCTGTGGGATGCGTTCATAAAACAGCCTCAGTGTTTGCCCATTCAGAGAGTGGCTTCTGTGGTGTTTGCGTCTAGTCATTGAAAACCCTTTTCTCAGAAGGCAAACTCACAATTATTCCTATTAACCCTTCAAGCTGCCACATACTACGCAGAATTCTGGCTTGCTCTTTGCTTTTTCTTGGCTTCCAAACTAAGCCCCCGGCTGCAGTCATTCAGCATTTTTATTTTTCAAGAAGTAGGACCCAGAGGCAATGAAGAGGAAATGAAAGACACCCCCTGAGGTAGGGGTGGGAAAGGTTTGGTCTCTATTTAAGGGGTTAAAATTAAAAATAATATTTAAAAAGCTCAGGTGGGGCCAGGATTTTGGCAATCCGTGGGTATCATATTGAAAACTTCAGGGCCTTGGTCTTGCAGTTTTGGTTACGAAGTTATGGCTGTCAGTTCTGTCAAGGAGCTTTTTCAGCCAGACTACCACACCATCACATTTTTCTTTACCGAATGGGTTTTTTCATTCACACAACACAATAGACCAGAAATGAAGGTTTAACTTGCAGATACACCCCACACACCCACTGTTTTAGATTGCCATCTTTCTTCAGACCCAGATGAGCAGCACACCATCTTCACCACTGACCTGGTTAAGTGTGTTGCATAAAGCTGGACAGAACATTTCTAGTACTGATCTGTACTTTCAACATTTGGCTGGAAACCTGGACCTTGTTTAGGGTTT